GCCGACTCCCTGCTGAGCGGGGGGCGGGGGGCGGGGGAGGCTCAATCCCAGGACCCTGGGATCATGACCTGAGCTGAAGGCAGATGCTTAACCATCTGAGCCACCCAGATGGCCCTTGATGGGCTTCTTTGTAAGAATATTCAGGAGAGTAAGGAAGACAGGAAACAGTCTCAACTGTTATACATCCAGACTTTGTGGAGATCTGGAATGACATTCAGGATATTACAGAAGTTCAGTCAGTGTCAGTTGTCCGTTTTTATTGACCATTTTGTCCCCAGCACCCATGCTTGTCACATAGGATGTACTTAAATGTTATTAATGAATAAATTTCGGATACTAAGATCTACTGTATCTATCCGTTCTCTTCCTCCTGTATTCCCAGCTAAATGTTAGTCAACAACACATCTTCTTTTTACTTATAGCCTTTTCTGCCTCAAGGCCTCTGCTTATTTCACTTCCCTCTGTGTATCTTTTCTTTTCTGTGCTATTGCTTTGTGTGTGGATTGTGTATCTCTCCAGTATGGAGCGCTTTCTTAGAGCATAGTGACCAGGCTGCTATGGGTACCTTCGGTCAGGGGACTAGCCCTTGTCCAGTTACCTGTGGTCACTAGCAAGGTCACAGGGTATGGTCTCGCTCATAAGAGGAATGCAGTTATGGCAGGCACTTAGAATATCATTCTGTAATATTAAATTAGAGTCTGACTGGTGTTCAGTCCCATTCCAGGTCAGATTGTAAGCAATGGGAGAACACCATATCAAGCTAGTTCATTGTTGTATTCCTAGACCGTGACACAGAGCTTGGCACATAGTAGGCACTGGAAAAAGTACTGGCTGAGTGCAGCCTGATGAAGGAGGACATTCTTTGATCTTAGATGCATCGGGTACTGCCTAATGGGCAAGGTTAAAGAGTAAGGCAAATGTACTTTAACAGTTTTTATCCTGTAAGTGAATCATTATAGCCAGTGGTAAAACACATAAAGCTTCTAAGTAGAGGAAGCTCAAATCCAGAAAGGCTCCATCCTCCTTCACTTTCGCATTGTTTGAAAGTAATGAGTATTACAGAACCTCAAATTACTGAGTGAATTCTGTCATTACAGTGGGACAGTTGCTTTAAGGCTACAAATCCCAGAGCTTTTTCCCACAGAATTGTCACCATCCTAAAAGGCTTCATAGCAACCCTTTAGAAGAGAAACCTCATGGGATTTGGATTTGTTGAAAGAGCTGCAACATGTTGGTGTGTTTAAATTGAACTGGAAGTGTAATTGGGAAATATTCCAGATTTGAAAAACAAAGGCATTCTTATGGATCATGTTTCTTGATTTCTGCATCCCTTTTTCCACTATCACACTCAGTTGCCACCGCCACTTGACAAGGGTAGGTTCTATTTTTAATTCAACATAAGGATTAGGATTAAGAGACAGTTTTGCTTGACACTGTTTTGGAGGCCTAACTAATGTTCTTCTTGCTCCACATTTGGGTCTCCTCATTTGATTAGTGCAGTGGTCCCAGGTCCCTGCCACTCTTGTTTGCACATGTTAGGGCTTCAGCAAACACCGATTTGAATTATCGATGTGAATTAACAAGGCCACTGTTGCAGGTTGCTTAACCTCATTTACTTTCGTCGTCACAGATATCACCCTGAAACTGGAAAAACTATCTAATAAATGTTTTTCCATCTTGATTCCAGTTGAATAGAGAAGGAAAAATGGAAGTAATATGGAGGAGTCACACAGATGCATAACTATAACTGGAAAATACCAGGCCGTGGGTTTTCTCTCTAATAGTAAAGTCAGGATGTTGTGTTGGTTGAGTGTAAGTGTTCGAACCACATGAACTTGGGTGAAAACCCTGGCTCTGTCACAGAACAATGTGACTTTAGACAAGTTCCTTAAACTTAGCTGGGTCTTACTGCCCCTTCTGTGAAATGGAGGGGACAATAGTGCCTCTTTCATGGGGGAGAGTAGTAGGATTTAAATGTGATAATGCATTGGAAGCCCTTGCTACAGGGCCTGGCACAAAGTAAGCCCTCAGTAACTTTAGCTGGGTTTGTTACAATTGCTGTTATTGTCGAGAGTGTTGTTTTGAAAATGTAATTCTTTTCAACAACATTAGATGGTATCAGATAATTTGGTGACATCGGATAATATAAATGGGATTAGCGTTTTTTCACCTGGTAACAGAAACAAACAATATAGTATTTTTTAAAGTAATGTAATTTTACACACCAATATTTAGGAGAGGAAGAGATACAGTTTATGTCTTTGAAATGTACAAGCTGCCACAGGCAAGCTTACAGGTTCTTCTTCTCTGTCCAGAGGTTAAGAAGAGCATCTTGATCTGTAAGTGCAAGATCTTTTACGCTAAATGGTTTCTGGAATTCATTAAGGCCTATCTAGGGAGGGATTTGATAGATCACACATGTAAAGAACTGTCTTTTTGTAGTGGGATTTCTGGTGATACTTTTACAAAAATTTTACAAATATGAGTATGAGAAATTCCTGATGAACTGAACTGATGTCTGAGAGGCATTGACACATTCTTATGTCTCCCTTGTGGTTATGTAGGTGAGACGGGCATCGGCAAATCCACGTTAATGGACACTTTATTCAACACCAAATTTGAAAGTGACCCAGCTACTCACAATGAACCAGGTGTCCGGTTAAAAGCCAGAAGTTATGAGCTTCAGGAAAGCAACGTACGGCTGAAGTTAACCATCGTTGATACCGTGGGATTTGGAGACCAGATAAATAAAGATGACAGGTACATCTTGGGATTTCATGGGGATATAAATGGATCAGGAGATGGCAGGACCTGTTCTGGGTAAATTCAAAGGCTAAATGTTCACTAGTTATGGGGCTGGTCTTCTGTTGCCTAAAAGAAAAGACATCCTTGTTCTCTGAGAAATTTTCTTAGAATGTTCTTCCCTGAGGTCAGAACCAGACAACACAGTTGATTCCAGCTAGTGTAAGAAAAAAGGGATTTCTTAGAAGGAATAAGTTAGCTTACAGCGTTTTTCCAGGAGGGTCATGGAACTAGATGTGGGGGCTTTCCCAACGGGAAAAGCAATCTAGATAAACACCCCAGTATTCTACAGGACAATTGGCAGAAGCCCCTGCCACCAGTCACCTTATATAATTTGGTACCCATGACACTGCGGGGAGGTCTCTAGAACCTCCACCAGTTCTGTCCCGGATAACCACATGCCTTTACCATCACTCGCAAGGAGAACAGGTGTGGCCTGTGTGTGGCCTCAGCTGTGTGGTGCTCACTCCCTGCTTCCAGGTCTTGTATAGCTGCGTCTGATTGGTAGAAACTAAACCACATCTACAACACGAGCTGCGAGAATCTGGGAAATGTGGTTTTTGTTTTTGTTTTTTGCAACTCTGCAAAATAAGAAGGCATTAAAGAGTAGAGGAATTCGGAATGAGCATCTGCCATGCTCTCTTAGTCCCTGAGGCAGATTGGGATATTTGACTTAATCCCCAAATTCTTGCAGATTTCAATGAAAACTGAGAGTTGATGAGAAATCATCTGTAAGAAGCCACAGCCCAGGATTTAGGAGACCTGGGTTATAGCCTGGATTCTGCCAATGACAAGCTATGGGACCGTGGCAATTTATCTCACTTTAAGGGAATGTCACTAGACGTGTGATACTGTGTACCGTCCTATTCTTAGGCAGAGGCCTAAGGAAGGACACTGTGAAAGGCAAGGCCTGGAAGAGGGTGTGGTAGTAAGGGAATTATCCTGTATTTTGAAGTCTTTAGTCAAAATGGTATTAACTCCTAAAACCTCAAAGTGAAGAAAGCATTTTTATGGAAGATCTGTTGGAAAAATCTTGATTTCCAGCTGGAACTGGATCTTGCTGTTGATGTCAGTGCTTGGTGTGAGGCACTGTGAGTCCTTCTGTGAAGTATCTGGGTCTTCCTCTAGGCCGCTAGAGAGGTGGGCAGCATGCTGGGTGCAGAATTGCCAAATCGAGTCTGAATGATTGTGGTTTCAGTCAAGCCTAATGAGGAATTTAGGTCGACTGGATTAAACTTTCCCTCTCTATCCAGTGGGGTTTGTTGAGCTATGAAGTAATTTATACAATAAACTATATATGTGGAAGAAAGGACATGTCTAAACTGCTTAAGAAATAAGTTATTTTCTAAGAATTGTGTTCCAATAGTTTGTATGTAGATAGAGGCTACTACCTGTAAGTCAGTCTTATGTATTCATTCATTAAAACCCATTCAAATAAACTTGAAGATATAATTATAAAATAATACAGTTAGGTTTTATTTTTATAAAATGTGTACTCAATTTATAAAGCCAGGTAAGTTTGGCTCTTCTGAGTTGCTGTATGCCTTTATTTGAGGGAAGCTGTTAATCTTAAAACTTCCTGGTGCTCAACCGATATGTTAACCTCAGTCCCCAAATATGTTCACACTCCTTTTCGAGATCATCCATCCTATTCATCATTCTTAACATCAAATATCTTATGACTATTTAAATATTTTATTCATTTTCTTTTTTTAAGATTTTATTTATTTATTTGAGAGAGAGAGTGAGAGAGAACATGAGAGGGGAGAGGGTCAGAGGGAGAAGCAGACTCTCTGCTGAGCAGGGAGCCCTATGTGGGACTCGATCCCGGGACTCCGGGGTCATGACCTGAGCCGAAGGCAGTCGCTTAACCACTGAGCCACCCAGGTGCCCTATTGTATTCATTTTCAAAAGAAGTTAGAGAAAGTTAAAATTGTCGCAGGTCCAAAGATGATTCTAGAAGGGGGCTTCCAGAGACATTTTTGTGCAGTGACAACATAATGGGAATAAAACCCCAAGTCAGTAAGATATGTTTGCTTAGGGCTCAGAAATTTTATTAGTACCAGAGTTTGTTTGTTTTTTTAAGAATTTTCCTCAAAACTGTGTATATTGTATGCATATGTTTTATCAAGAGGAACTTGGAACTATTTTTATCTAGAATGTGTATTGCCTAGAGATATTTTAACTACCCTGGTATACATGAGCAACACAGTAATTAGGAAGAAATATTTAATTCATTCTCTAGCTGAGCACTGAGCTCCATTTTATCTATAGAGCAATTTAAATGCTCTTCAATAAACATTGTCCTGTAATAATAGGAGCAATTGTTAGATGTAGTGAGAAGGATTTTATTTCGCATCTGGTCAAAATGAACTATCTGTACATTGTGCGGGGTGGGGGACAGCTAAGCTCAGACCCTGCAGCTGAGCTGTTGCTCTTAACTTATGACCTCAATGCCAAGGAATGATGGAGAGGTTACTGCCTGAAGGCTGTTTGTAATACCAAGTGAAATAGATGTCATGCTTGTGCACTCCCTGATTGGAAGGCAGTAACTGGACCTTTTCAGGATCCCTTCCTGCAGGAATGAGAACCATCTTCCAGCATCTTTCTGCTAAGACTCCATGTGCTCTTCCCGCTCAGAGTCATTGCCTCAGTGGCTGCACTGAATTGCCTCTCCCCAAGTGGGGATTTTCCTTCAGCCTGCTGGTTTTCACTGGCCGGCACTGAACAGCAAGTGGCTACTACAATACCAATTCTCCTATTTGCAGCTGGAGGCCTCTTTAAGAAATTATCTGACTCATTTGGGTCAAATAATAGTTTCCAAGGAGATTTAGAAGAGAGGAAGTGTGATATTAACCTAACCTAGATACCAAATATTTTTTTCTTCTGAAATTTCTTGACAGCTGTTGCATAACCTCTTTAAATGGCATTTAGAACTCTGTCCCCTAGAAGGCATTGTTGACATTGTTGACTCTAAACCCGAATGACTGTTGTTTAAAAAAATTTTTTTTTTCGGACAGTCTGCTTCCATAAAAGAATTGGAAGTGAGATATGCATTTTTGCATTGATACGTAACCATATGGGAAGCAATGTGCTGTTTCTCTAAACCCATGATTATTTTTACTACTTTGCGGATGAGGCAAGCTTTTCTGCCATGAATGCAGGACTTTAAGAATGTCCTGGCTTGTTTATGTAGGCTTCAGTCATGTCAGCATTCCTGCATGACTATCTGCCTGAGACTGAGCTAGCTAGAAGGAGGCAGGAAGAGAGATCTGGTAAGGTTTCCTGTTATGTTTAATAGCAAGATTAACTCTTCATGGTTTAAGGGCTTCTTTGTTTTGCTGTCTGTATTCTTCAGTGAAGAAGGGAAGGGGTCTGGAGAAGAAGGTAAACCAAGTTTTGTCATAGAACTGGAAATAGAATAATTCATTTGCCCCACATTTGGGAAATGGGAGATAGAATGTCAATGGCATGTCACTAACTGTAATGATAATCAACCCTGAAAAGCATGAATAATTGAAATCTTCAAACTCACCAAATCTTTGTATCAGAGTTATAAAATGGTATTAAAGTGGACCATCTGGTCTTTAATTTCTGTTTTTATCACACTTTCTGATGGAGGTAGTTGAGAGATAAGGAAAACTAACCTTAACAGCAAGGTAGAGAAAAATAGATGGGAGGTATCTGGCCATATGTAAAATGGAGAGTCGGTCCCTGAACAATGGTGTTGGTTCTTTTGCAAGAATGATCAGTGGGTAGCTTGGGTGGATAGAAAACATTGTATAAAGTATCTTTTTCCATCAGTTTCAGGGTCAGCCTCTGTATTTTATTGTGGATTCTGTGGCTGGAGGTATATGAAAAAAATGAGTTGTGGGTAAAAAGGACTATCCCCATGCCTTAAAAGGAGACAATGTAAGGACTAGATTTGATTTTCCCTCCTCCATTTTCCTCTGCTTGGTATGACTGTAATCCAGAGAAGCTGGAATTGGCCAAACAGAAAATAAATGGGTGTCCTTTCTATAAGAATGGAAACTAGCAAAAGGCAAAATTGGGATTATACTTCCTTCTCTTTATGACTGTGAATGTAGATAAGAAGTGGAAAGGAGTAGGAGAAGAGGGGCAGATCATTTGTTTAAAGGATTATGAAGGGGAATACAAAACTACTGGCTGACTTAAACGCAGGGAATACTGATTTTGGTAAATAGTTCTCCTGAAATACATTTCTTTTTAATTTGTTATAACAATTAGAAGTTAAAATTGATGGAATTTCATGCTTGATTGTGTGTGTTGTGGGGGAGTAAAAGGGGAGGTCCCCGGGTGGTGTGCATGGGGGTGCCATTCACCAAGCGAAGGAATACAGGGAAGTGTGGGTTTGGGGGCAGGATGAAGAGTCCCATCTTGGACACATTTAGTTAGAAGAGCCAATGGAGATATCTTGTAAGCAGTTGGATGAATGGTGCTGAAACTTGAGTGAAAGATCTGGGCTATGAGCAGAGATTTATGAATTATCATCACTTAGATAGTAAGTAGAACACAGGAGTAAATGTGATTTTTCAGGGAGATCACGTAAAGGGAAAAGAAGGAGATTGGAAGATTAGCCAGAGCTCCCTGACAGGGGAAGGCAGAAGGAAACCCAAGATGTAAGAGGAGAACAAAAGGTTTCTTGGGATATATTGAATCCAGGGCAGAAAGCATTCCTCCCTGGAAAAGGAGAGGTGTTATGCTTCCCATAATCTTGGAGGATCAGAATCAACACCAGAGGCAAGAGGGAAATTAATAGAAAGCAGAAACATACTTGGAGCACTGTTGGGGAGGTGGTGCTGAGAGGCTAAAAATGAACTGGTGAGGCAGGAAGGAGCAATTGCTTGTGAGCTGCTTTTCCTTTCCTTTCCAAAGAGGGTGTTGGAGAAAGACCCTGGTGTCCCCAACACTTGCCTCAGTGTCCGGAGACGGAAAGATGAGGCCTTGGGCTGGCACGGGTGGACCTTGGTGGAGTGCAGGGCACAAGCTCAGCAGCAGAATGGTTACCATGAGCCAGGTGAGGGTAGGGTTCCTTTCTCCCCCTTCTCTTTCTAAAAAGTCAGGCTTGCTTTTCTCCTATTTGTTTTTTATTATTTTTTATTATATTACTGTGAAATAGTTATATCCTACTCTTCTGTGCTAGTCCTTTACACATATTAGCTTATTTGCCACAGTAGCTCTCTGATATAGGTACTTTTTTGTCCTTGATTTACCTGTGAGGAAATTGAGACACAGAGATGTTTAGTAACTTGCTCAAAGTCACATAGGTAGTAAATTTGTGGAGTTGAAGTTGGTTTGGCTTGAATCCATGCTTCTAACCACTATCCTATGATAATATTATTAATATTGTTATGTAATACCTACCTGTGTTTTAAAGTGCAAAATATAGAAGAAATTTATCACTTGCTCATTCTTTCTATTAGAATTTATTGGGATTTCTGTTGTCGTATTTAGAACTTTGTTATTACAGAGGCATATCCTGCTTTTTCTTTAAACCACTAGGGATTTTGTCTGCTCAAATTGAATCAGTGGATTGTGATGAGTCACCAAGGAAAAATATCAAAAAACTTTTTTCTGAGTGCTTTCAGTTTTTGGTTATAAATATATCTTTTGTTTTGTTTGTTTGCTCTCTCAGGTTATCTGCTGTCATCCATATTATCAAAGATTTGTAGTTCCCTTTCAAGGATTTCAGTTTAATATATGAGTTAGGGGAGCCAAGTGTTGAAAGGTTTTTATTTCTGACTTCTGAGCAGTCCCCTGGAGACCTGAAAGTTTATAGCTTTTCCACAATGACCTACCTAATGTACTGCTGAGTCCCTGGAGAACATCTGGTTTATTGAATGCATATTCCCAATATACTATTAATAATTATGGTCAATTAATAGAATCATACGTAATTATTCAAAACAGATTTGAATTTGAATTATGATTTGCTGAGAAGGGTTACAAAGTTTATCTTCCAATCATAAAATTTCAGAGTTGGAAGTAATCTTGAAGCTCCTAATCACCCAGGCCCCTCAGTTTATAGATGAAGCTGTGGAGGGAGCACAGAAGAGCTCCCACTAGGTGATACCATTGCCTGAAATTGAAAACCACTTTCCTTTTGTGCACCAAAGTCAATCAGTTGGCAGAGGCTGTCAGAATCACTTTATTAAGACAGATTCTGAGACTCCGTTTTAGCCCAGCAGGAGAGAATGCCACAATCTCTTAGTAGTGTCTTCCATGGGAAGTGACAGCATGGTTCACATATTTATAATCTCTGTTTTAAAGGATGAATGTTAGCCAGGAGAATACTAGGAAGAGGTCTGTTCCCGGTACGGGGGCTAGCGTGAACAAAGGCACAGAGGCAGATGAAAGCTTCGTGTGTGTGACTGGGACAGAAGCGGCGAGCCAGGGAGGGAGTGGGAGAGAGGAGCTTGAGAGATGTTCAGGCACCAGGGATGGAAGGCCCGGGATGCCCAGGTAAGGCTTTGGGGCTTTAGCTCATAAGCAAGGGAGCCATTGGAGACTTTACAGAAGGATTGTCCTGCACTGAACTGCATGAGAGGTTTACGGCTAGAAACATGCTCATTTGAAGGTGTGTTTTACAGAACATTCTTCTGCATTCTAGCTATAAGCCAATAGTGGAGTATATTGATGCCCAATTTGAGGCCTACCTGCAAGAGGAATTGAAGATCAAACGTTCTCTCTTCAACTACCACGACACCAGGATCCACGCATGCCTCTACTTCATTGCCCCCACTGGCCATTCCCTGAAGTCTCTGGATCTAGTCACCATGAAAAAGCTGGATAGCAAGGTACCCACTACCACCCTGGCCACTGTCCCCTCTCCTTTTAGATCACCTTTATCTGAAGGCCCTGATTTATTTTCTCCTTTTAATGTCATTTGGTTGTATTGTTTTGTTTTACAAGACTGTTTTCCAAGCAGTTTTAGGTTCACAGCAGGGTTAAGAGGAAGGTACAGAGATTCCCGTATACCCCTGCCCCCACATCAACACCCCCACCCAATGGGCACGTTGTCACAGTGGGTGCACCTACATTGACACGTCAGCCCCCCAAAGTCCATGTTTATATTAGGGTTACCTCTTGGTGGTATACATTCTGTGGGCTGGGACACATCTATAAAGACCTGTATTCCTCATTATAGTACACAGAGTACTTTTCCTGCCCTAAAACTCCTCTGTGCTCTTGCCTATTCATCCCTCCCCACTTCCTCCAACCCCCTAATTGTCTTTTCTGGTTTAAGGAACAATAGGGTTTAGCAATGTGAGAAAAATGCTTCAAAACCTCTGGATGTTAGGCTAAACAAAATAAAACAAACAAACAAAACCATGGAGCTCTTTACCAGGTATTTTTAGTTCTTAAATTAGCACCAATGGGTGCTCTGATGAGGGATGGGGAATTAAATAGTGGAGGCACCTAAAAGGTCATAGGAGGGGTTAAATTTAGGGAGATTGAAATACAAAGTCACAATTTGTTTATTTTCTTAAAAGCTTTCTTTAAATTTCTTTGTTAAAAGTCTTTAAAAGTTTGGCTTTAATATGAAGTTTTGAGTGGAAAAAAAAGGAGTTAATTTTTTTTTTTTTTTACTTAGGTGATAAGGGCAGTCCGATTCCTTAGATTTAAAACTGAACTGTACCCGTGTGTTTTTACAAAGTAGTTTCCGTTTGAAACCTGAGCTTTCCACATTACTAACCTCTCCCTTTCACAACATTTGAAGGAAAGTCCTGATAAGTTTGATAACGTTTAGTGACCTACTTTACAATTAATTTGATTTTTTCATTTTGAAATAAATGGAAGACAGTACATTCTGAAAACAAAGAAGCAAACGACAATGGGAAGGACCCCCCAAAAGAAGCTGTGGTGTTTTCTCTCCTAACCTTCTTTTTGAGTTCCATGAAGAGTCTTACCGTCTCTAGAGGGTTTTGTTGGGTGTTATTTTTTTGTCTAAACAACACTGTTGGAAAGATGCTCTCTCTCCAGAGGAACATGACAGAGAACACTCAGAAGACCAGCCTGTCCCCACGGCCTCTGTCTGAACTCGCGGCCAAAGCGCCGGCCGTGGCTGACGCAGAGCCAGGCTCCTAGGCTTCCAGCACGTGCAGACACTCGGGTTTACAGAAACATAGTCTGATGGCCTGAGTGGATTACCGCAGCTGGAGTGCTCTCCCGAGAACACACGGAAACCCTTCTCCATCACATTTGTTTCAGCTGCATTTAGCCACGGACGGCGGAAGGATCTGGGCCGCGAGGCAGGCTCCCTGGGCTGTCCTGTCCTGACCACAGGGCTGCGGGACAGGCAGGGACGGAGGAGGGCTCCTGACTGAGGCCACGTCGGTGGGCCAAGCCAGGCTAATATTCAACAACAGGGTTATGCCTAGTAGAGTTGAGTTAAAAAGGGAAAAAAGGAACGAAAATACGGCAAAGTAAACACAGCTGGAAACAAACTAACAAAAAAGTCCCCAGAAAGCAGGTTAAACTGCCTTCAAAGAATCACTATTGCTGTAGAGCTGGGCATGCTGGAGAGCATCTGAAAATGGTATTTGCAAAAAGGTTTATTGATACAAGCAAAGTGAAGAGTTCAGGCTCTTAACTATATAGGTCACAAATATATGATAATTCCAGAAAAGATTTTTCAAGCACTTGCTACCAAGGAAGATTTTTTTTTTTTTTTTTAAGTTTATTTATTTGTCAGAGAGAGAGACAGAACACTGGCAGGCGGAGTGGGAGAGGGAGAAGCAGGCTCCCTGCTGAGCAAGGAGCCCGATGCGGGACTCGATCCCAGAACCCTGGGGTCATGACCTGAGCTGAAGGCAGACGCTTAACTGACAGAGCCACCCAGGCCCCCCAGGGAAGAAGATTTTAAATCTAAATTGCTTTGTTCATCTATCTACTCTGATCAGATTGGCCCAAGAAACTATGACGCCCTGCCATTTTGTCTGTAATATTAACTGAATGCTAAGTGTGTACAAAAGATAGCCAGTAAGAACAAAGGGCAAGTGTTTTGTTCCTCGGGTCCTGACCCACACATTTCCCCACCACCAGTGTGTTTCTCGGTCTGTGACTTGCTGGATGAGCCTAGGCACGATGAGGGTAGGAGTGGGTAGAGGAATAGGGGAAGAATAGGTTTTTCTATCCACATGTCTCCTCATTGTGATGTATCAGAGATTTTGATTTGGCTCTTGGAATAAAAGGAGAAGCAAAGGAAGTAAAACATGACCAAGAAAACCTCCTTAAAGACTCCCTCATTCTCTTGCTAGGACGGCTTTCTCACCAAGTCTGTCTCTCTTTGCCCTGAGCTGGGTGGAGAGCATGGCCCCAGGTATCGGATGTCCGTAGTGTCTTATGAAAGCTCTGTACCTACCACGGAGTGGAGGACAGTTAATCTTAAAAAAGGAATTTTAAAAAAATGTGCTGTGTGGACAGTGCTGGGGAAAGTTGGAAGAATGACTGACGTTGGGGTTTGGGGCTTGTGCTTGAGGGTGTCCCTGGCTTTCACGCTGGGCTTTCTGCCACGGTTGTCAAACTTGGCCTTCTTCCTGGTCTTTGTAGCCTGTGCCCTGAAAGTGAGCCTTGTCTTTGGCACCAGGTCTCATTCTGGTATGAAGAAGTAATGTGATAGAAACCAGTGTTTCAAGAGAATTAGTTGGTATGATTTTGAGAATTTTAAAAGTAGGTGAAACTGTTTTTGTTTCAGTGAATACGTAGATTCTCCACTCCCAGCAGTCATTAGAAAAAAAGAGAGGATGTTATCCTGGGAGAGTTGGATATTCCACTGTTCTGACTAACACAGTCTTGGCTATTACACTGTTAGGAACATGCTAAAATCAAGCTCCTAAAGTAACTGGGAGGGGTCTAAAAGGAGTGGTTGGTTATTGAAAGAATAGGCTTTGTTATCGCTATTTGTCATAGAGTAACACTTCCTTCTAGTCTGTTAAAAAAAGAAAAAAAAATGAGGTAGCACAGAAGAGGAAATTACAAGCATGCTCTCAGTGCCAGATGGGAGGAAGTAAAAGTGTTCACAGATGGAGCTAAAAGATTATCCCATATCTTCTTAATTTTGCATCTGGGCAGAAAATCTGATTTTCAATATCATCTCTGTTTTTTAAGTGAAGCTTTACAATTTTTGTTGTTTATTATGTTTCATTCATTTGTCTTATTTTTCTTACATTGGAATTGTGTAAAAATAGATGTGTTTGTTTTATAGGTGAACATCATTCCAATAATTGCAAAAGCTGACACCATTGCCAAAAATGAACTGCACAAATTCAAGAGTAAGATCATGAGTGAACTGGTCAGCAATGGAGTCCAGATATATCAGTTCCCCACAGATGAAGAAACGGTGGCGGAGATTAATGCAACAATGAGCGTAAGTCCTCAAGTTAGGAAGAACCTACCAGTAATTTTCCTGAAAGCTTTTCTTGGTAGCAGCATTGTAGAGTGACTAGAACCCTGGACCGGGAATCTGATTCTTCAGTGTGGTCCAGCCCTGTCACTATGGCAAGGCATTTAACCACCCTGCTCCTCAGTGTCTCCATCTGTCAAATGGGAAACTTAGGCAAGCTAATCTCCAGTTTCCTTCCCACTCCAACAGATAAGATTTCTACAGCCAGTCTTGTGGGAAGGGAATGCCTGCCCGCACCATCTCATACAAAGCAGCTTACAGGAAATAGATCTCTGCTCGTTTCTGGCATTGTTGGCGGAAATATGTCCACCTGCCTCATTTTGACTTCTGTGATGGGTTCCTGCCTTTTCCTCCTTTCTGCTTCTCCTACCCTTTCCTGAACCATTGGGTTAACTGGCAGTCGAGGTATAATTTCTTCACCTCACAGGCAGGATGGTCAGAAAAGAAAGGACAAAAGCTTCAGCAATTCTTAGGTGCACCTGCGATACGATGTCTCGTGGTGAGCCTCCATGCTGCCCGCTGACGCCTGCATCTTTCCCACTGCCTCTTTTGTATCTCACAGGCATGGCTCATCTCTGGGCCACAATTACTATACTTTTTTTTTTTTTCCACTTAGGAATGCATAACTTCTGTAAAAGTAGCGTTCTTTGCACATAGTAGATGCCCAATGATGGTTTTTGGAATTCTTAAAATTGTAGCTTAGCTTCAGTGAAATGCAATTAGAAGCTATTAAATAAGTTGCCTTTCCCTGGATACGTGCTAAAAAATGATCCAAAAGGATGCTATTGGCAGCAGAAGTCAGTCTAAGTTGTGGTAGGTTGAGCTATGTTCTACTTCCCTTAGATCTGGTCATGAGAAGTGTCTAATGAAGTCATTAAATGCACTAAAGGCACTGTTGTTGTTTTTTTTTTAATTAACAGCTTTATTGAGATATAATTGATATACTGTACAATTTACCCATTTAAAGCATATAATTCAGTGGTTTTTAGTATATTCACAGGGTTGTACAACCATGGCCACCATCAATTTTAGAACCTTTTCATCACCCCAGAAAGAAACTGTGTACCTTTTAGCAGTCAACCCTCTAACCATTCCAGCCCTAGGCAGCCGCCACTCAACTTTCTTATCTCTGTGGATTTGCCTATGCTAGACATTTCATATGAAGGGGACTCCTACTGAAGCTCATCTGGAGAATTAAATGCCTTGGTCAAAGCCAGCTAATAGCGGCACTGAGATTTCAACCCTGGTCCCACATCTGTGTTGTTTGCCATCATAATTTAGGAGAACAGGGTTATACCACAGAACTCCTTGTTTCTTCGGTTCAACACACAGACTTTTCTTTTTTTTTTTTTTTCTTTTTCTTTTAAAGATTTTATTTCTTTATTTAAGGGAGAGAGACAGAGAGAGCATGAGCTGGGGGAGAGGGACAAACAGACTCCCCTCCAAGCAGGGAGCCCGATGTGGGGCCCGATCCCAGGACCCCAGGATCACGACCCAAGCCAAAGTCAGACGCCCAACTGACTGAGCCACCCAGGCGCCCCCAACATACGGACTTTTCTATGTAGTGCTGTTTCTTCCTTAAGTTATTCCTGATATGCCTAGGACTTTGGAAGTCAATGCAGCTCCTCCCCTCTCTGGGACTATTGTATGAATTTAAAATTTAGGAGCTCATTAAAGCAAAGATAGCCCAGCTCCACTCTGTTCTAGTCTGGTCACAGTCTGAGTTGTATGACCCACTGTGGCTGCCATGCTCCTGTGGTCAGGATAGTAAAGCCTCTGGAACTTCTGGAAACTGGGAAGCAGACTCTTCCTGAGGAGATGGCCTGAGGGGGTGTGAAAGGAAGGTTGTCATAGGGGAGAGTGACTGCTCTTATTCAAAAGACAGAGCTGAAACCAACAGTGAACGGCAGTGAGGGGTTTGGCCATCAGGACCACCGCAGCATAGCAAGCACCCCGTGGAAGGAGCGTGTTCCCACTGCCGGGGGGTGGACCACAGATTCTGAATCAAAGCACTTAGAAGAGCTGTGGTAGAGGGAGTTCCTAAGCAGGATTGAAACAGGTAGCATGTGAGGTCTCCTCCACGTCTAGAACTCTCTGGTGGTGGGTACCGAGAGCTTTCTTAATAATCATAGCGCCTGACGTTTCTGACATCTATGGAGCATTTACTGTGCACCAGCCGCTGCTCGAGCCTTCATTTACATTTAGTGCCCACACCAATCCCGTGGGTAGGTATTCAGGTGAGAGGAGACGGCAGCCCGCCCCTCACGTGGCACAAATGTCAGCGGGGCCGATGGGAGTGACGCCTGCGGAGCAGCTAGCTCGTGTTACGGTGTTGTCAGGAGCTCGGGCGGGGCAGCACTGGTTTATTCTGTTGCAGAGCCGTGATTTGGGATGTCAGTGTAGGATTCGAGAAATAACGTGAATGAATATCTTCTAATTTTTTCTTTATTTCTCTTCCCATCCTCTTAAATCATTTTGGATGGTCATGCAACTAAATTTGTGTTAAATTTCTTGGAAAGAAAAGAGCCATGAATCTTGGCTCTTTCTCTCTTTATCTGATTAATTGAGCTGGTTGTCCCAAATTAATCTTGTTCTTCAACAAGAAATTGTTTTTTAGGCTCTCCATTGCAAGCAATTCCTGGTGATGAAATCCCACGTGATAGGTGGAAAACAGATTTCTTTGGCAGTTGCTTTTGTCCCTTAGGGTGAGCAGAGAAAACGGTTTTCTTGGGTCATTACACCAAAATGTTGGCTGGAAGGGTCCTGGTGCTCCTCAACTTCAGGGAACATGTTACAGTTCCAGACTCAGAGTCTGAGAAAGAGAATGTGCTTTCTTCCTTTCTCCAGAGTGTGAGATGAACCAGAAAATAGAACTATCTTGAGCATCTGCGAAATACCACTTGGGCAGCCTGGGCTGAGGGTTATGCCCTCTGTGGGAGAGGATTTGGCTTTGAAACATTCTTGTCTTTCTCAGCTTCTCTGCAGTAGAAGAGCAGTGGATCAAGGAACTCGAGATAATATGTCTCGGAACAGCCATTTCAAATCTTCTTATTCTTATATGCTAATAGAAAAAAGGTGGAATTACTATCCCTTTCATCCCCTCCTCCCAGAATGTAGCCATAGGTACCAAAGAAATCAATGTGGAACAGTCCGTTGTCTTGAACACCACCTCTGCTTGAGATAAGTCTGGGCTGCAAGGCTTGGGCCAGTAATTTGGTCTAAAGTGTATTTCTGACTTGAATTTTGTGCAATGGCCAACTATCTAAAGCAATGCTGTTCAATAGAAATATAATATGAGTCACACAAGTAATTTAACATTTTGCAGTAGTCACATTTAAAAAGGTAAAAAGGGGGTGCCTGGGTGGCTCAGTCGGTTAAGCATCGGACTCTTGGTTTCGGCTTAGGTCCTGATCTCAGGGTTGTGAGATCAAGCCCCATGTCGGGCTCTGTGCTCAGCATAGAGTCTGCTTGGAATTCTTTGTCCCTTTGCCCTTCCCTCTGGGCTCTCTCTCTCAAAATAAAGAAATAAATAAATCTTTAAAAAAATGTGGCAGAGGTGGCATTATAAAAAAAAAAGTAAAAGGGAATGTGAAATTAAAAGCCTTACTGAATATATTCAAAATAGTATCATTTCAACATGTAATCAATATAAAAATTAATGAGATACTTTGACAGTAAGTCTTTGAAATCCAATGTATATTTTATAATTACAGCATATCCCAATTTGGATGAATACTCAAGTTGCTTCTAACATACTTGAAAGTTTTTCAATATGAAATAACTACCAAAAAGATAAGTTTCCTCTAATGTTTGCACCCACATTGAGCAAACTGGTTCTTTTCTTAGAAGATTTGAGTTTAAAGCAAAATGAAGTGTAGTCCCCAAACAACAGAATTTTATTTAATGGAAAAATATTTTATCTTCCATTTTAAAATTTAAATGTAAATGAATTAAAAGTAAATAAAATTAAAAATTCAGTGTCTTAATCCCACAAGCCTCATTTCAAGTGCTCAGTGGCCACACATATTAGTGGCTGTGGTCTTGTACAACACGAGTCTGAAGCTTCCTGTGTGGGTGCAGACTCCTGCCGCTTCCCTTGAAGCTAGCTCCTATCACCTAGTCCGTATTTGGTTGTAGAAAGGGTGGGGTGCACGCAGCCCAACCCCACTGACCTGCAGAGCCCCGACCCTCTCCTCCCTCTCCTACCCTCCCTCCCTGTTTTCTCCTGCCACCAAGTGAGGCCTGCAGAAGAGGGCGGAGCTGGAGAAGGTAACTCGTCTCTGTCCTTGTGTCGCTTCCCAGGTCCATCTCCCATTTGCCGTGGTCGGCAGCACCGAAGAGGTGAAGATCGGCAACAAGATGGCAAAGGCCAGGCAGTACCCCTGGGGTGTGGTGCAGGGTAGGTGCGCAGTACGGGAAGGGTGTCTTCACCTTCAGCCCCTGCGGTGACTGTCCACGTTCCTTCCCTCCCTGCTGTGTTTGGGGAGGTGCTCAGCCGTAGGCAGGAGGAAGAGAGCAGTAGGGTTAGACACATGACAGTCGTCAAGCGAGGAAGCAAGACACGGTGACCAGGTAGGTAGACCGTGGGGAGAGGTGAGTGCAGAGCCCTAGTGCCTGTGGTAGCCCCTCAAGAATGTTGGCTTGTGCGGCAAATTCAGCATACATTCCTGATGGAAAAGAGTTCTTGCCTAGCAGTTTCAGCCACTCTCATACCAGTTTCACCAGCAAAGTATAAAGAAGCTGCAAAACGTTTCTTGTAAATAAGAGGATACTTGTTTCTCCATTATCTCTGGAAAACTTGTCTTCCAGTTAAATGTTATCTCAGTAAATACTGGAGAATTATAAGGCTATCTGACCTAGTTTGGCACTGTGGGACATGACCACAGTCTCTGATCTAAAGAAGCTTCCCATATGTTGCTTGGTTCCCATATGTTGCTCGCCTTGTACCTTTTGAAGGAAGATGCCCAATGCTAGAGGTTAAGTAGGATCACTACAGAAAATTCCTTCATTGGTTTAAGATCTATCAGTCCTCCTTTTCTTTTGTTCTGAATAAAGGCAATACATCTGTGGGTTTGAGATCTATCAGTCCTCCTTTTCTTTTGTTCTGAATAAAGGCAATACATCTGTGGGTTTAAGATCTATCAGTCCTCCTTTTCTTTTGTTCTGAATAAAGGCAATAAATCTGTGAGAAGTGAGAAGAAATTACACCTTTGGGATTCCTGGGAAAATTTTAATTTTTATGACTATTACCTATTTTTCTACAATAGAACTTTTTTCATAGTGTTGATAAAATTAAAAGAAGCGGTATGTAAGAACTGCCTTGTATACTTCCAGGGGGCATGGAGTAGTGGAACTAGACCTGGCTTTGCAGCCCGATGTTGGGGTGTTTAAATGTAGACTCTGCTACCTCTACGCGGGAGGTCAGCATGCTCATCACAGCCTTGCTTCTGCATCTGAAAGGCAAGAGTCGCAATGCCTACTTGGCAGAATTATTCTGAAGAGTAAAGACCATATTTACAAACTTCCTCCTGCAGTGCCCTGCCTCGAGCAGGCCCTCTGCAGTCACTCGTGTCATCATTGTCATGGTCCGTGTTGTCAGCAATCTTGTCCTCATTGGGAAGGTGAGGTGAATCCAGTAAAGGTCTGCAGATGGCTTTGAGACTTCAGAGATTTCAGGAGCGATGGTGATCACCTCTTGAAAGTGTCACTTCAGATTTTGGGGACATCGTTGCTAATAGCCACCCCCACCTTCCCATCTCTCGCAGTTGAGAATGAAAACCATTGTGATTTCGTGAAACTTCGGGAGATGCTGATCCGTGTGAACATGGAAGATTTGCGAGAGCAGACTCACACCCGCCATTATGAATTGTATCGGCGCTGTAAGCTCGAGGAGATGGGTTTCAAGGACACTGACCCTGACAGCAAGCCTTTCAGGTATGAGGGCACCTAGCAATCAGCTGTTCCCTGGATAGTGGCTTGAGTGGTGTGTTGGTGCATCATGGAAATGCTTATTGGATTGGGGTGCCTGGGTGGCTCAGTTAGTTAAGTGGCCGACTCTTAGTTTCGGCTCAGGTCATGATCTCAGGGTTGTGAGATCGAGCTCCACGTTGGGCTCCGTGCTCAGTGGGGAGTCTGCTTCAGGATTCTCACCCTCTGCCCTTCCCCCTGCATGGGCTCAGGCGTGTGCGCATGCGCACACACACACACTCTATCTCTCTGTCTCTCAAATAAATAATCTTTTTAAAAAAGAAATGCTTGTTGGATTAAGAAAACAGTGACAGAGGGACCTGGTGGGGACACATTAGTAGCATAATTGCCAGGCATCGTGATCACTTTATTGGCATTATCTCAACTACCCCATGTAGTTGCTGTCATCATCCTCCTCATTTACAGGTCAGGACACTAAGGCACGGAAAGTGTAAACAACCTACCCAAGGTCCTGTAAGTAGAAAGTGAACCCCTGCTCTGCACCACTCTACTCACAGAGGCACAGGGCCCAGCCCAGGGGTTTACCGAGTTGTGGCCGCTCATTCCAGCGTGCTGCGCTCGTGGCTGCCGGCCAGGTCTCCCTTCCCAAGGCTCTTCCCAGCTCTCAGTGGTTCAGTATAATGCTAGCTACTAATGAGGAGGAAGGGGAATAACTTGTAGAAAATGTCTTGTGTATTTTCCCACATCATCGATGGATGGAGACCAAGAGGCCCAACGTGAAGGGGAGAATACCAAAATTAATGTAGACTTAGCAGCCTAGCAAAGGCCCCGTCGCTGTCAGAACCTGGTGGTGGGGGAGGGGCGGCAGGGGCTGAGTACCTTGGCCACGGAGTGGTAAGGGGAGGTGGGGATCCTGGGCCAGATTTACCACCTCTGGGCTCGGCAGAGGATTAGCTTTGTCCTTCCTGGGCCCACACAGCAGTCTTAATGGAGATTTCAGTTGAGGTGATGAGAGGTGTGTCTGGGCACACAGTAGGGGCCGCAGTTCCTTGGAAAAGACTATTTCCTCCTCTGCTGCCTCTGTTTTTGGCATTTAAATTAAAATTCCTCCTGCAAGCCCAGGGTAAGTGCCCACTAGGAGGCGGAGTTGCTGGGCGGTTCCAGCTGGCTTCTGCAAGGCCTCCCTGACTTCTGGGACTCTGGGATGGTGGCAGATGTCATCCAGGCCTTCTGACTTGTAGACAGTATGCTTTATTCACACATCTTCTGCTCCCATTTGGTTCCATTTCTTCTGGTCTAAGGTTTCTTTGTTTTGCTTTTTGTTTTTATACCTCACTATAATCTCACATTTGTTTATTTTTTTACTGAGGTATAATTAACATACAATATTTTATTAGTTTTAGATGTACAACGTAGTGCTTCAATGATTCTGTGCAGTACTCAGTGCTCACCATGAGAAGTGTAGTCACCAAGCAACATGAGTACAGTTTCATTGACTATATTCCCTGTGGTGTACTTTTCATCTCCATGACGGATTTATTTTATAACTGGTACAAACTTGATCTGTTTCTATCTTCTTTTATTTATATCCATCTTCCTCTTTATTTCATCTATCACACCCCTCCCTCCACAACCATCAGTTTGTTCTTTATATTTAAGAGTCTGGTTTTTGTTTGTTACTTTGTTCATTTGTTTTTGTTTTAAAGATTTATTTAAACACTTGAGAGAGAGAAAGAGAGAGAGAACAAGCAGGAGGAGGGGCAGAGGGAGAGGGAGAGTGCACTGAGCACAGAGTCTGACTCAGAACCCGATCCCACGAGCTGGGATCATGACGAGCCAAAACCAAGAGTTGGACGCTTAACCGACTAAGCCACCCAGGTGTCCCTATTCATCTGTTTTGTTTTTTAGATTCCACATATAAGTGAAATCATATGGTATTTGTCTTTCTCCGCCTGACTTATTTCACTTAGCATAAGTTCCATCCATCTTGTCATAAACAGCAAGATCTAATTCTTTTTTTATAGCTGGATAATATTCCATTGTGGATATATGCCACATTTTCTTTGTCCATCCATTTATTGATGGACGCTTAGGTTGCTTCCCTATCTTGGCTGTTGTAAGTAATATTCAATAAACATAAGGTGCATATATCTTTTCAAATTAATATTTTTATTTTCTTTGGGTAAATATCCAGTAGTAGAATTGTTAGATTGTATGATATTTCTATTTTTAATTCTTTGAGGAACTGCCACACTTTTCCAGAGTGGCTGCACCAGTTTACATTTCCACCAGCAGTGTGTAAGGGTTTCCTTTTCTCCACATCCCCACCAACACTTGTTACTTCTTGTCTTTTTGATACTGGCCATGAGGTGATATCTCATTGTGGTTTTGATTTACATTTCCCTGATGATGAGCAGTGTTGAGCATCTTTGCAGGTGTCTGTTGGCCGTCTGCATGTCTTCTTTGGAAAAATGTCTGTTCAGATCCTCTGCCTATTTTTTAATTGGATTTTTTTGGTGTTGAGTCGTATAAGTTCTTTATATAGTTTGGATATTAACCCCTTATCAGCTACCTCATTTGCAAATATCTTCGCCATTCAATAGGTTGCCTTTTAGTTTTGCTGATGCTTTCCTTGGCTTTGCAAAAGCTTTTTATTTTGATGTCGTCCCAGTAGTTTATTTTTGCTTTTGTTTCCCTTGCCTGAGGAGACATAGCTAGAAAGAAAAACAAAGCTGGAGGTATCACAATCCCAGATTTCAAGATATGTTACAGAGCTGTAGTAATTGAAACTGTGGTACTGGTGTGAAAATAGACAGAGAGATCAGTGGAACAGGATAGAGAGCCCAGAAATAAACTCACACTTACATGGTCAGTTACTTTACGACAAAGGAGGCAGGAATATGCGATGGGGGAAAGAGAGTCTCTTCAACAAATGGTGTCGGGAAGACTGGACAGCTACATGCAAAAGAATGAAACTGGACTGCTTTCTTATACCATACACAAATATAAACTCAAAATGGATTAAGACCTAAATGTGAGAGCTGAAGCCATAAACTCCTAGAAGAGACCACAGGCAGTTTCTCTGACATTGGCCGTAGCAACGTTTTGTGGATATGTCTCCTCAGGCAAGGGAAACAAAAGCAAAAATCAAGTACTGGGGGACTGAGGTTTCCTTTTTGATAATGAAAAGGGGGAATAGATTATAAATATACATCCAAAGCCTTTACTCTTTTCCCTATATAAAAAAAATAAGTAGAGGAAAGTAGACTTTCTGAAATACTTGCTCTCATTTCAGTTACTGGGAACTCTGGAAATGGTTTGTCCTCTTAGAAATCCATCATTTAAACTCAGATGTCCATCTTGGTGCAAGCAAGATCATTTGGAGCATCAAAACTGGCTTTGAATCAACTGACTTGGCAAATAGGAAGGTGAAATCAACTTGGTTTTCCATTTCTTGAGAGCCACTACTTTAAAAGGGGCTCAGACTTTCCCTCTGAGGCATTTCCAGCATCCCCAGCACTTCCTATGAGCCTCGGACCACACTGAAGGGGGGGGGTTGCAGTGAGGGGACCCTGCTTGAAAGATGACACAGTTAAGGAAAAGCAAAAGCTGCAGCTGATTTGAGTGGCTTTCCAGAATTTCATCTTCAAAGTCCTCATTCCTGGATGCTCTTAGATTTTTTTCCATGGGAATTTTGGGTGAGCTGGGATGGGTATTAAGTATATTCTCAAAGCAGAGGCTTTCTCTGCAGGTGTACAATGAAGTCCATCCTTCCCTTTGAGCACCCTGTGTCTACCCTTTGTCCTCCAAGCCCCTCTTGTGTTTATGAAGCAGACAGTGACCTCTAAAACCAAGGCTAGGAAGGGGCAGCCATCACCCGAATATATTGTACAGTGTGAAGCAAAAGCAGGGTGAGCACAGTAACAGGCTGTATGAAAGGCTGTACTGGGAAGTACATCGGAGGCCGTAAAGCTGAGGCCGTCCCTGCTGGTGTCCTTGAACCTGCCTCAATTCAGAGTTGTCCTGTGGCAGAATCTCTGTATCTGTGTACGTACCTGTCCAGATGTCAGCTTGCTTTCCGCTGTGCCCATCTTTCCCACCTGCTGCCCTACAGCCTTCTGGACCTTCTCTGCACCCACGTCTCCCTTCCCCTGACCTCAGTCGCTTTGTGGCTAGTGTCTGGAGAAGAGGAGGGGGACGTAGGACCCAAGTGGGGACCGCACCAATCTTGTTCCTGCTGCTTTTCTCCTGAGACACCATTGCCCTTTTCCCAACAATTCCCGTACAAACTGCCCATTCCTTATCTCAGAATGCCCCCTTTTCCTGACTCTGTTAGGTCACAAAAAGGGCTTAGTAACCACCATTCTCTCAAGAGATCACAAAGTTTTCAGGTCCATGAGACCCATTTGGTTGAGGGGAACATGTAGACCTCGGTTCACCAGCTGTGCAGTGTAGTGGGTAGAACTCCTGTCTGAGCTTCTTCATTGTGTGACCTAGACAGATGACTAAACACTTGTATCCAGGTTTCTTCATCTAGAAAATGGGGGATAGTTAGTAATACCCACCTTACTGGGTTATTGTGAGGATTGATGAATTCTCGTGTGTAAATTGCTTCGTAAACACTGGTGATGTGTTCTTTGGCATGCCCTTCACCGGGTAGTTCCTGGGGATTGGAACAGAGAGAGAATTATGTTGTGTGAATTACCAGAATAAAGTCTGAACTGAACTACCTGTACTCAATTCTCCTTCCCTTTGACTTCCATGAGTGACACCTATCCCTGCGTAGGGCTGTTAAAAAAACGAGAAGAGGGGCGCCTGGGTGGCTCAGTCAGAGGAGCATGCGACCCCTAATGTCAGGGTTGTGAGTTCGAGCCCCACATTGGGTGTAGAGATTACTTAAAAATAAAATCTTAATTAAAAAAGTGAGAAAATGAGAAGATAGAATTTGTGGTTTCAATCCAGCTTAAAACCTCATGAAAAAATTGCACATTTCACACTGAGAAAAGGGTGTAAATAACTACAATTAAAAATTAAGTTGAAAGAGCTAAAAATTGCCAAAGACGTCATCTCATTAGGGATGTGTGAGTGGATGACAGAACCAGTTCCTTCTCAACTGGTTTTTACTGACCGGAAGCATTAGTGAGGGTTTCTGGTCTCTTGTTTGCAACTAACTGCCAGAGGCTTCTGGGGACTTTGACCCCATGAGTGTGTGGTTGTTTGAAATCATTTCTTAGTATCTCTCTGTAGTTGTGACTCCTTGGAGTAGGGTCTTATGATTTCCTGAGTGTTGCTTATCATTTCCAGTGTCCGAGTTCAAAGCCTGGTTCATATCCTAGGGCACAGTGATGGTCTGAGTACCACTTTCCTGTTCTGGCCCGGACGCCGAGGCTGCGCTGAGTCTCCTGGCCAAGCCTGTCTGGCAAGGCGTAGTGTTGCTTGATCGCCTTTTTCGAGGACACGGGCTTTCTGACTTTGTGTGGCAACCTTCACTATAAATGGGTTCTGCATCATGATCCAGTGTACAAATTTGGAAGTACAACTGCTCTTATTGTTTGCAGCACACTCTGGTATTTTCTATCCTATTCTGTTAAACTTTTTCATTTAACATATTGGTTAAGACCCTCACTTGGGTCATGACCCATAGTTTGAAAACATATCTCCAGAAACCAGAGCATAAGCTAGATTGTGGCTGGGACTGCATAAGGCAGAGTTATCGTGAGGGTTCTCATATTCTAGGTAGCATTACCTAAAAGTACATTCTCTCTGTGGGTTACTTAAAAAGTTTCCACGATTAAACGGTTTTGGGGAGCTCTAAGTTAATAAACAGGTTCTTGTACGTAAGGACTGTTAGAGCATTTAAAACAAGCAGTGGTTGGCAGACAACTTACATTAAATCACCTGGAAGCATTTTAAAAATACAGATTATTTTGTCTTCGCCTGCCATCCTGAATCAGCAGCTCCAGGAGTGGGGTTAGCAAACTGTTTAGAAATCCAATAAAACATACCCAGGCCATCCTGACATGCTGCCGGGCTTGGGAGCCACTGTGCCTGTGACTCTTCCAACAGGAGACCTCACAGAGCATTTTCCCTTTACTCTCTTGCCTCAGGAACCCCTCTTCTGAAGATCTCTTAAAACTAGTGATCTCCAGAACACATGTTGGGCAGTGTTTCTGTAAAAGGTGTTCCCCTACTTGTTAGAAAGAAGTTGGCAGTTATATTCATTATCATAAAATAAAGTTTCCCTTAAAATTTTGTACCAGGGACAGGTCATCTGCTTTTGGCAGTTCTGATCTAAATAAAGGTGAAGAAGAGTTCATTAGATGCTAACAAGCAAGATCAAATTCATGAATTAGTTCTATCAATACATTTCTATATCTCTGTGCCAATAATTTAAGACTAAATTTCAAGTCCAAGTACTGCTATTAATATTAGCCAATGTCAACATTGGCCAAAATTGTTTTTGTTTCAAAAGATAATATGAAATTCTGGAAACTCGAAGTACTTGATTGTTCATTAACAGGTAGTGTTGAAATTCTTGAGGACAGGAGAACATTTTTTTGTTTGTTTTTCTTTGAGAGAGAGTGCGCATGAGCAGTGGGGGGAGGGGGAGTGTAGAGCGAGAGGGAGAGAATCTTAAGCAGCCTCCATGCCCAGCGCAGAGCCTGACTCGGGGCTCGATGACCTGAGCCGAAGTCGAGTCAGACAGCCAATTGATTGAGCCACCCAGACGCCCCAGGAGAACATGTTTTTAATCAACCAATGAAAGTGTTGATTACAGAATTATAAGCAATCCTAATGAATACACTTTCTAATCATTTACATGCATTGTAAATGTCCTGAATGTCCTTTTTCTCCTTCTAAAAGGACAAGTGTGGATGCAGGGAGGTGGCTCTGCATGGTGGCCAGGGTTATCCACGCGTGCTTTCCAGTTTGGAGTCAGCACTTTGGGTGAATTCAGTCCACGGGTAAAGGTGGATAATCCTGCAGACCCGTGTTACTGTAACAAGTCTTGTTCTAGGGAAAACTGCAAGGGAGAAATAGAAATAACACCTTATCAAATATCAGCAAGTGTTTCTCTGTTTGTGTAGGTGTGGATATGGGGGTGTGTTTTCTTAAGTTGTGTTACCAATTTTTCTGTCAAGGTATTTGTTCTGACTTAGAGATAAAGCCGAGTCTGGCATTTGATTTAAAATATTGGGCTCAAAGTTCCGGAGAGAGTCAGGAGGCGGTTGGGGTTTAAGATAAAAATAAAACTCCTGCCTGCTCTATTTACAGTTGGTAATATAACTTGAAGTAGCAATTTTCTATAATATCTTTAGATATACCATTGTCTCTTTAGATGGTTCACTGAATCCATTTTCTGAATTGGGGACTGCAGGGAGGTGAATGGGGGAAGGGTAGTATTTGCCACAGAGGGTATGTCGAATGCTCTCCTCACTTTGCCCCCATGGAGCTCCCACAGTCCTGTCCCTAGAAGGTAAGTGCTGTTGTGTCCACATCTTAGACAGAGAACACTGAGGCTTAGGGACTGTGCCCTTCCCAACATCGGTCAGTAAGTTGCTGTGGCCAGAATCCAAACCCTGGCCCGTGTGGCTCCAGTGCCTTTGCATTCTCTCCCTACGCTATGCTGACTTCGTCTCCTAAAAGTCTCTTACTTGGTGTCTGCCTTGTTTGCTGATCTGGAAGATACGGGCCAGCCCAACCCAGGCTTTCCCTGTGTGAAGATACACAGGGTAAGCGTGGCCGGGAAGACATGCCTGAGTGCTACCGCGTGCCTACTGACTCACCCCCGGTTCTCGATGTGCTTGTCTTTCTGATCCCTGCATAACTAAAAAGAAGATGGTGTGCCATTTTATGTGTCCTTTAACATAGTAAGTGGCAGCCTCATCTATTTTTTGGAAGCAATGAGTAGAAATTATATGAGCTGAGATTTCCTATTCAACTTCACAACACTATCCTTGGTTTGTGGCTTTTGAATAGTCTTCAGGAGACTTACGAAGCGAAAAGAAATGAATTTCTGGGAGAACTTCAGAAGAAAGAAGAAGAAATGAGGCAAATGTTTGTGATGAGAGTGAAGGAGAAAGAAGCTGAACTTAAAGAGGCAGAGAAAGAGGTAAGCCATCTGTCTTCCTTCAGGGCAGAGACAAATAAGCGAGGTGTATTATTAATACGTCACATTTTCTAGAACTTCATGCTCTCCTAAGTACTTTCTACGTGTATCTTATCACGTGAGCAGCAGGCTAACATGGTAAGGAAAGCAGGTTAGGTATTCTTATCCCCATTTTAGAGATGATAAAACTGAGAGGCCTGGAGGTTAAATGATTTCTGTAGTCACATACGTAGTAAGTAGCAGAGCTGAAACTAAAACTAGACCTTAGGTCTCCAGGTGTGGTCCCGTGTTCTCTGTAGCTCCGTATTTCCTCAATTTGTAAGTCTTGCAATGTAAGATTTGGGATTCTGGGACCATTATTATTATTATTGTAGTCTGTCAGCCAACTCGGTGAGCTAAACGGTGGAGGGGCCCTCTGCGGGCATGTCCTCGTGCCTGCCTGTCATTGCCCACGACCAGGCCACATTAACTGCTTCCTAGAAGTTGACATGGATTTCTGCTATAGCACTCATTCCATCGAGACAGAGAGAGAGAGAGAGTAATTTATTTGTCTCTGATGTTAGATAATGAGTATCTCAAGTGCATATCTCAAGTGCTTGACCTATAGCTCTGTACATTTCCAAATTGTCTACATAATTTCCTCATCATTCCCTTTTAATTTATCCTTATAAAGACTACTGAAATTTAGTGGTTATTTAAATAGCTAAGCACTCAATAGAGTTTTGCTGCCGAGAAAGGAAAGTTGATCTTTATTTGTTGTTGGCCATAAGTACCAAGTGGTGCTGGATAAAAATCTAAAACTATCTAGTAAGTTTTTTTTCTTAATTCTTTCTGTCCTTCCTCCCTTCCTCCCTGCTTTTGTTTCTGCCTGGTGATAACTTTCTAAATTCGATTTGTTGAGAAATTTGTGAGAAACCTCCCAACAGATTCTTACTCTTTGAATAGCCTATATCCTCTGTAGTCACCGCGTGTGTCTGTAAGTAAATGTATATTATACATTTTGAAAAAGGACCAGAAATAAAGAACTACTCTTACCACTCAGGTAACTTGCTAATTAGGAGCATGGATAATGTTTTTCTTCTTTATGCTTCTTACAATGAATATGTATTTTATTGTCAGTAAGAATGAACAGGATTCCCTTCAGCGCCAAGGCGTCCAAGTCTCAAAGGCACGTAGTAGGGCTCCCCGGGCTGCGCTTTGCCAGATGGTGCTGCCCTCGTGGGACTGACGCAGCTTGGCAGCACGGAGCATGCTTTGATTTTGAACGGATCCACGTGACCTTCAGCAGTAACTTTCCCCTCCCTTCACCCAGCTTGCCCTCCTCTTTTCCTCTCCAGCTCCATGAGAAGTTTGACCTCCTGAAGCGGACACACCAAGAAGAGAAGAAGAAAGTGGAAGACAAGAAGAAGGAGCTGGAGGAGGAGGTGAACAGTTTCCAGAAGAAGAAGGCAGCCGCTCAGCTCCTACAGTCCCAGGCACAGCAGTCTGGGGCCCAGCAAACCAAGAAAGACAAGGATAAGAAAAAGTAAGCGGGTGTCCCCCCATGCTTCGGGGCCCTCTAACAATTTATTCCTCTTGCATGTTTCTACTTTTCCCATTTACAGACTGGAAACTGGTCTGTTACCAGAAAGATAAAAGCAAGTCTTTTCTCTACAGTGCAGGGAAGATGATACAGGTTTTTAAAGTATTTGTAAAGGGTACACAAACATTAA